GTTATTTGTTAGCATAGCGATGACGTCCACGCTAAACAGCCTCCGTAATTACGGTCACGTGTCACGAGTGTAACAAGGAAAATCGATGTGATCAGCCGAAGCCGGTCAATCTTCAAGAAGGCTCATTTCTAGATGAAAATTCTAGAAAATGGAAAAATTTGGACAAAAAATATTAATAAGCAGGAAATAAAAGGATTATGGCCGAATTATTAACTGAGCATAGTAAAGGCTGGCCTTCCAAAATTTAGTAGGTACATCGACTAGTTTTTCCGAAGTGGTATTCGCCACAGAATTTCTCCGCGAAGCGGATTCATCCTGGAACCAATCCAAAACTTGTAAAGGATAAAAAGGATAAAGCATTTGCCGTTGATCAATCCCTTTTTGGGATGCGGCACGCATTCTACTTCCATTTGTACATTCGTAGTGGCGTTTGAATGCGATGTGGCCTATACAATGACTTGCGGGGGCCAGCCGATGTACAAGTCAGTGTTTTTATCCTCCCAGACAAGTCTGGTACCAATTAACCGACCCCGGAGGGATGGAAGGCTTGGTTGGCCCGGGCGACTCACGACCCAGGATTTGATCCCCGGACCGCTCGCGTGGTAAGCGTGCCACTTGTCACTACACCACTTCCGCCCAAAAAATTTTGGAACGCTTCACGAATTTGCGTGTCATCCTTGCGCAGGGGCCATGCTAATCTTCTCTGTATTGTTCCAATTTTAGTATATGTTCAGGAATGAACTTAAACATCAACAATTGGTACTATACTACGTGAACACAGAGTGGATAAAAAAACTCCCAGATACACCAAAAACATGATTTGTGGGCCACGTAAGCATGTACATGGCCTGCGACACCAACTGGAAGTCAAGTACGTGGCGCATGACAAAGGAAGTGGTCTATGCTGCAGAGTGAGCGAAATATCACATTTTCATCGAAGGTTACTTCTGGACTTGCTTCAAGTAACGATTCCATAATAAATTATGCATTATTGATTTTTCAAGAAATTTGATTCAAGCTGAAAGTCGCTTGAGAAGATGCTCTTCAATAGCGTTGCGCATCCACAGGGCAAAAAAATATGCTATTATTGCCAGAAACCTGGCTGGTATTCTATTTGAGGCCACTCGACCTTAGTACCACTTATTTTATTGACCTTTGCAAGATCGCGGCGCAATACTCGTTTCATCGGATCCTATCGCTTTCTTTTGAGGACTGCGTGGCACTCACATGCGATCTTTCCTATTCCACGCTCTGTTACTTACAGTACACTATGATTACTGCTAGGAACCCCTCCATCACAGTGAAAGGCTATTAGAAGGTAAAAATAGCAATAACTCTAAATTACATAGTGGTCTTGAAGGCCTAATGAAAAGTAAGATATGCAAAACCCAGCAGAAAGCTAAAGTTACGAGGTCACTTTAGGAAGACGAATGAGGCCAATTCAAGAAAATCGGAAGCTATTGGAATGCGCCATGCGCATGAGAACAGGTCAGAGAGCGCATGGCTTACTGAATGCTGAAGCATAATTGCTGGAATAATAGGAGCGAATTGGAAAAAAAATGAGTAGTTATTTTCTCATTTAAAACCGCCAATCAATATATTGATCTTCACGAATGTATCCAACAATCCAACAGAAAGCTGAACTTGCTGAGGTCAGTTAGGAAGTATCAGGCCAGGCTCACAATACCTGCTTAGATATGCCGTGAACCTGACGCCAATTCAAGAAAGTCAGAAGTTATTGGAATGCGCCATGCGCACGAGAACAGTTAGGAGAGCGCATGCCTTATTGAATGCTGAAGCACAATCGATGGAATAATAGGAGCAACTAGAAAATCGTGAGAAATTATTTTCCATTGAAAAAGCCAATCAATATATTGATCGTTTACAAATATCGGTTTTCCTCCTTTTTTCGCTTTCTTCGGCTATCAAACGCTCTGCTGTATGCTATATGTGAGAGCACCGTTTCCCCTTGTGTGGATGTGAATGCGCATCGCATTTGTGATGGGAACGAACAGAGGCGCGTTGGTGATGTGTTTCACAGATGCTTCCTTCTATTCATTCGGCCGCAAACCCTCGTTCGTTCGTCGAAAAACCACCGACCATTTCAGCAACATAGTTCACAATCGGTCACAAACACTCCAGCTATGGAATTCATCGCAAAAAGGCACCAATCCAATTCAAACGACTCCAGGGCTTTCTTCTTATCGTGATCGAGTTTGTTCTAGCAGGCATGGCGAATTGGCAAGTAGCGTCAGATCACACACTTTCCACCAGCACGTTCGAGGGATCAACTCCTGGATTGGCCTTTTCTAAGCTATCCGAAATTTTTCTCCCTCTGGGATTGGTTATGCGGTCTGGAAGTATGAAAAACCACTGACTTGCACTTTGGCAGGCCTAACAACTCGTTTGTAAGCCAGATCACATTCAAATGTCACTGCAATTTTTGATGGAATAATATACGTGGCGCACCAAGGAAAGCACTGAATGATGTCGAGAGAGTCCTCCTTTCATCCTCTATCAGTATACTGCCGTTCAGAGATAAAAAAGGACTAAAAAAGCAAGTACAAGGAAAATGGATATCAAACACAAGCTTTTGGAAAAATTCCAAGGTAGAATTAGTTCGTTTCAAATAGGACGAGTTCGGCCATTTCCGGATAGGTCAAATTCAGAGAAGAAGAGTGAATAATTCATCTCTCTGCGTCACTGTCGTCAAATTCGAAGTACTGATCGATCAAAAAACTATCAAAATTTGTCGGCAACGAGTTGGAGCTCTACATGATGCACAGCTTGCCACAGTACACAACGCACCTGTGTGAGTGTTTCAATGGATATTCAACATTTCATGGAAAATAATCAAATTTTAATAATCAAACATTTGTGCAATGGACGCCAAATGTCACAATTTCTCCACAAATCAAACAGTAAATTAAATAGGAAAAAATGCACTTGGCCGCACAAACATATTTGGCATGCACCATGTACTCAACCTCCATTCAAAACCGTGATGGATTTTGATTATGCAACTGGACTATTCAACTTGTGAAGTAATCGATACATGAGTGAATGTTTTGAAGACAACTATGTAGAGAGAAATTTCGATTGAAGGGATAATTTCATTGCGGATCATGGGACGGGGCTGTCACCAAGGATGAAGCTCTCCGCTGTCACTCCGGTGTGAAACCCCTTAAAATAACGTCATTTCCATAAACGATCACAAGACTAGAGGGCTCAGGAAGAGGATTCTCAGACAACATCAAGAACAGGATTCTCGCTTATTGATCTCTTTGAAGTTCGTCCGAAGAGAGCGAATCGTTAGTGTACCGAGAAGGGATTCAATCCGATGATCGTGAAAATGGTAGTAGCAAAACTTGCCACTACACCTCCCTCGCCCTCCACAGATGTCAATAATTTTACACAATAAATTTAATAAAAAAAACTCCGTCCCACACCGGGATACCACCAGTTCTTCATTATGCAGCTTCTTATATTGGGGTTCACGTATCAGCGGAAAAAATCGGGCATTACAAGTCGGAAAAGAACAATCCTTCTTTCGATTTTATTCAAAGAGGCCCAAAATTTAACAAGGTTATGCTTAATATTTTGTTAACACTGTCGCAACTCCTGTAACCTGAGCGCTCTGAGCGGAGCCTATTCCAGGGATGTTAAAGATAAGCGTTCCGCGGCACCCCGTACTGCCCCAATAAACTTAAACGAGAGTCCAGAAACCACACTGACCAAAATACATATTTTTTCCTAGATTTTCTTTTCACCTTTTCTTTTAAATCAGTATCCGAATATTTCGTTTGCATGGTGTTTCCTGTCTTCTTGAGAAACTGCTTAAAAATTGGGCCAAATAAAGAAAATACTTTATATTTCATAAGTAGACGACCAAATTTTCATAAGTACATTAGCCTACTAATATACGTACATACATAATACACAAATTTGTAGAATATTGGCAGAATCGTGGGCGAATAGAACGTGGACGGACGAAAGAACTATTGGTAACTAATTGAATAAAAACGAACACTGCAATTTTAACAAAACGCAACTTTTGCCAGACATCTGGGCAGCTCAATTCAAATTGAGACACATGAAACGGGGAATTTTCTCAAAAAGAAAAAACAGAAAAAAAAAGAAAAAAAGATATAGAAATGAAAAATACGGGAACGAAATTTCAGACGAAAAAATAGAAATCTCTTTCAAGTTACATTCAAACTTCAACGTGGAATAAATATCAAGTAGATTAATATATTCGAGAAAAATCCTAAAGTTCTATGAACTGACAGGTTTGTCCATTAACAGTCACATCCGTTATCGTGATGCTGCCGTGGTATTGAAATGGCTCCGACGGGCGCTCTGGATTTGTCCATGAAATCTGAAATCACATTTATTAGCCTGCCTTACTAGCCGTCATTCATTCGAAGTAAAAATAAATTTGCTGGAAAGGCTGACCAATTATGCGGGATCAACATGATCCCTACTCAGCATATAATTGACGCCGAAAAAAATTCATTGAAATGATAGTCTGAGCGCCGCCCCACGTGTGTGTGGCGTCAGGCGTATAAAGTTCACAATAGACGTTAGCATTTCATTGCTATGACTTGTCACATTAACATATATTACGGTTGGTTGGACGCGATCACTTCGCAACGAGATCGATGGCTCTTCACCTTCTTCAGGAACTAAACCAAATTTGACCCGTGAAGCTTAACCTGGACTTCGCTTGGTTGGGCGCATGGTTCCAGCCAGCGGTTACGTGGCCAGCTCTTGACCTAACAATCTCTGAGCAACCAACTACCTGCAAGGGCGATCAAAACTCGTTCAACGGATCCAATTTCACACCCAGTGCACAAAAAATGCATGCCCATCATTTGCAACTTGGCAAACCTGACTCTAACCTCTCTTACCGTATGCCCTCATTAATCATACAAGATACCTGTTTGCAGTGCTCAACGTCTGTTTACTGTAACGACCATTTGGCGTACCCCCTCTTCACGTCCTGATTGGTGTGACCTGGCGCGGACCCAGCCGTTCCCCGCGCGGGTAAGCCGCTATTGACAAGCCGCGTAGGTTCACTTGCAAAGAAGTCAGGTGTTACTCTGTACCCACTTAAGCGGCCGGTTTCCTTTCAATCAAAGAGAATGGTAGACGGAGAAATTTGAGCCATGTAAATGATCGGTCGAGAAAAAACAATGAAAGGCATCTATAAATTTTACCTATTTTGGAGCTATTATAGGACCCCCTAAAAACTCACCCTTCGAGCACGACTAGTGGTTCCACTTCAAAGTGCCCAAAAAGCTCTACCTAAACATCTATTCGTTTTTTGTTAACGCGTTACAAATAACTGGCCTGTCAACCCCAACACATCTTCTCCTCACCGTCGAAGCACCTCTATACACGCTTAACGACCACTCTAACGCAAATTTCACACCTGCTGCCACACCAACAGCATAATTGAGCGAATATCATCAGGACCAGTAAGCACGTCATTAGGAGGAAATCCGTTCAAAATTAAAGATTTAGGGATTAGCGACCCGAAGATGATCAATATCCCAGCCAATCGAGGCTGTTTCAGTGGCAGGACAGCTTCTGTATGCCTAGCTGGCCTATTTCATTTGAACAAACGCTGTTACTTACTTATAAGTATACTTTTCCTGAACAAAACACAACACCACATGACAAAAACCCTTACCGTCTCCGATCTGATCTCATTCTTGATAGCCTCAATTCGGAGTCTCTTTTCGTCGTTCTCACAGAGCTGAATCTGCTGTAGACCATCCGTCTGGCTGGTACCGCCTGCGATGAATGCCTATAACAAAGAAATAACCGCTTCTGCCGCAGAAACAACTGAAAACAGGACGGGATGTCCAAATCCGATAAAACATGACCCACTTTCTCCTTCACTGTCCCGTCCTTGCCTGGCTCCATTACCGATGTCACATGACCTGTAATGAATCGTTGAACATTCCCCAACTACGCGCTCAATAATAGATTGTCACCAACACCAGCACTATGCACTACCGAAGGTGTCACAGATCGGCTGATGAAAAAACGCTCGTTTGTTGCGCTGGCGCCCAACGTCGCATTCATGACGCATTCAGTGTGTTCTATGACGAGGGAGAGAGAAGGGGGCGCCAACTATAATTACAGTAGCGTGGCGCATGTAAACGAGCGAACCAGCGCCACGCGGAGCCGATGGCCTTGACGTTAATCAAATTTGAGACACCACACGCGATAACACCTACCGTAGTCATTAAATGATCAAACGATGACAAGCTGTCCAGCGTAGGTGCAAATACGAGGGGAACCTTTCAAGATCACATCACAATAGGCTACATTCACCTACCAACAAGGTAGTCCTGTTCCGTCAGTTGTCGTAGCATACGCTGATCACCTATGGCCATTGCTGCCTCCGACGCCTCCACGGAGCACTCGCCGGTCTGTTCTGCATCATCGGCCTCCTCTTTCTTGGTTTCTTTCGCGGCGCCTCGCTTCTTGTCACCAGATGGACCAGCCTTGTCCTTGGCAGTTTCCTGAAATGGGAAAAAACGCATGAAATACGAGTAAGACAAGTTCTGTGAAAAAATACGATTCATAAGACATGGCAGTTTACACTCCTGCAGGGGCCCGGACACCTTCTGCTTCATATTTGACTTCCCTAGATCTCAGATGATTAGAATTCAGCGCCGACGACGCTGTAAAGCCACTCCATCATCGCTTTGTCGACTCGTTGCTGTGAACGCCGGGTGAGAAAAACCAAGCGCACGCGCTCACACTGATGGAAGGATTTATTCATTTGGTACCCCAAACTGCAAACCATGAAAAAATGGCACTACACTGAACGACAGCTGTCAGACTCATCTCTAACCATTGGGCTCCCCTCTCCGACTACTGGGGAAAAGGTGGATGAAAGTTGAAAAAAGCCAAAACTCTCCGCTGCCATTGGCCGCATGGAGGATCACTTTAATTGACCTTCCAACTCAATACCCGCTACTTGCACTAAGGAATATATTGCACTAAAGAAAGGAAAACTCTGGGAAATATTATTGCAGGAGTCAGCCGAGACGAAGGCTGGGAGTAACACCAGGAAAAATAAAAAACCGAGAACTAGGGAAAATTAAAAACTATAAAGATTTATAGTCGGAAATGACTTTTTATATCACTACATTCAAGGTTCAGATCCAAAAATCGTCCAGAAGCAAAAAATAGAGCAGGATCCATTGGAAAGATTAAAATGGTAGATCGACTGCGCTAGGGCGCCTCGATGTCTAGCCAATCCCCCACCCCTCAACCCTCCGATTACAGCCCTATTCGAGCAAGAACTGGGCCATGCTGCATTTTCTTTACAATGATCCTACTCTCCTCATTTCTTTCTCTATCTCAAGGTCGACCAAAATAAATGCTTTTATATCGCGCGCTGTGGGTAGCACGCAAAAGGGTCTACTTGGTGCAGAATAGAACCTGGAACAGTGGTCAGCGTCCTTCGCCTTATTTCTCCATTCAATATGATTATTTCTCCATTCAATATAATTTCGCTCCTGTACTATAATAAACGGTCAAATTGGCCACCTCTACCCTTCATCAGATTCATACGTACTTTGAAATTTCAATGTTTCTTTCAATAGAAATCGTAACTTCCTGTTTTCTATCGAAAGAACATGTAAACAAAAATTAGATCTCCAACCTAGTCAGTTATTGTCTTGAAAATTCTCATCATTTCAAAATATTTAACTGAGCTAGATTTCAACTTAAGAAGTCTGATGTCGCTATGGATAGAAGCGCAATTTTGCGCTCGCAAAATCGCTTGTTCGATCCCCCTATACACCTCGAATGAATGCTATACCCTTCCAAACAAGCCGTTAGTACCAGATTCACCTGATGTCAAAAACACTGAATAAAATATGGCGACTGCCCCGTAAACCACGATATGGGCGGTGCTACATTCGAAAGCAACAATGATTGCGAATAGAAGCCCAATATTGGCACTGTTCCAAATTATTGTAGAACTGTTTTGTGAGGAATCCCCTCACTTTTTCCTCGCTTTCCGTTCCCCTTCCTCAAACGACATTAGTGTCACACTTTGCGTGTCTAGCGAATTCATACCTAAATAGACATATAAATAAATGAGCACGTGGTGTGCACCCCCACTTAAACCTTACCTCCAACACCGCTAGGTTTACCCATTCGAGCGTAATAGGACGCGGAAGCAATTACATGACACATTCTCACAGATAATGAGGTCAGCTGGAGACTTAGGGAAAACCATCAGACAAAGCTTAGAAACCGCTTAGTTGTACAAAAAGAATATTGGCTAGAGGATCAAAAACCTCTTCGAATACGCCGCACTTTCCAGTTCCAGTCAAATCGCTTCACTTCTATATCGACGCTCATCTTGTGTTCGCACACTCCCTGACGAATCGGGCGATAAGAAAAGCGGTGAGGGGTTGGTCGGAGCAGCTTGAAGCACTAACATCGTCAACCTTAGCATCAACAGAGTGAACTATATGTCGTGTGATACAGAAATAGCGTGTCTCTTTTGTGGAGCTATATTTGGCTAATTCAGTTATCCCTATAGGTGAAAACTGTATAGTTTACGCTCATTATTCAAAGAGCGACACGAACATTCCTAATGTCATTAACGAATTACTCATCAGTCGGCCTTTCCTAGCTGCACAACGTCATTGAAGCACTGTAATCGACCACAGATGCTTGTTCTCTAGAGCAGAAATTACAAATCTCCGTTATCAGGTTATCAGATAACAGCTAATTCTCCCACTGCAAAACTTTGTCTGGCCCAAAATGTCAGCACCCGAAAAATAAAGCTATAATAGAGCATTTTCACACGGTTCGAACGGAAAAAATCCTTCATTTGGGAGCAAAAATAGTAACCAATTAATCCTTTAGCGAGCGATCTGGCTGAGATTGTATATGGTGATTTCGCAGTGATCGGGCGGATACGCGCTACGATCGACCGCTCTTTTGTATTGCTTTGAGCATTATTCACATTCAATATAAAAGCGTAGGTAGAGTAATGGCTGGAAGAGCAGTGCGCAGCGCTACGGTTAATTAATGTTCAGACCAATTAGTTTTCCCGTAAATCAGATGTACATTTGGTACCAACCTCTGCCGGGAGGGCGAAACTATTGACTTGAACATTAGCCGCCCTCATATTTCAGTTTCTAAGACTTACAATGGATGTCGTATGCTTGGCGCAACCTTAGAAAAGTTACCAATAACTACCTATTGCGCTTCCTAAACAATGCGCATTCTCCTAATGCTGCCAGTTCCAAAAAACCAGAGACAAGAGAGGCAGGTGGGACAGTCGAACTCAGTGGTACTCTGAACCCGAGACCAACGTCCTTTTAATATGCATGCATATAATCCTTTGGTCCTCGAACCCGACATCGAGCGCGCGACTCTCGAATGGCAACCAGCTGACGCGTAATGTCCACAACGAGGCCGTCGTGCCACCCGGCCGCCCTGCCCCTGTGCGTTCCACAATCAAGGGCGTGGCATCCGATCGCCAGACTACGCGTCCACGATGACCGTATCAATAGCGGTGGTGGTGGCGGCGACGACGACGACGGCGCCCGGTTACGCACCTAATGACAAATCCGATTAACCAGGTCATTTACGCCGGGCGCTGCGACTGCGATTCTTTGCAACCGGAAACAAATTGGTATGACAACGCGTCGTTGTCGCGTCGCGCCACGCTTGCACGCTGAACGACCGCTATAAATCACTTCGGAATCACATTCACCTTCCACACGTACACCTCCTTCTTATTAGCCCGTACACGAGCATCTAATATCTTAGCATCAAGGTCAGGTAGTAATTTGGCAGCGTACTCAGCGTTTTTATATTCTAGCGATTCGAAACCCGAACGAGACGAGCATTCAAATCAAGCGAATTGATCGATTTTCAGTTATTCAAAAGTAATAACTAATTTTTTATTGTCAGAAATAGGACGAAACGGTTCGAATAAATATGAACTGTCATTTTCTACCCCGTGGGAAAACGTAGAGAGCAAAAAGACGACCTACCGAATATAAGTGCAAACTCCCTCCCCACCCGCGTTTGCCCTCTCCACTGGTATGGATACCAATTCCTTTCGATGCCAATATTTCAAGCTTTATTTCACGCAGGCTACTGAAATATCTTGGTGGGCTCAGTATTTCACTATTCACCTCCACACCGACGACATTCTTCAGGGAGTCGTTTTCAGGACCCAAAAAACCTTTGATGTTGGGTGAACACATCTCAATGAAACAGTTGCATAGTGTCCTGGCATCGAGCCAAGATCCATCAACGGAACATTCCAGCTATTCGAGTAAAAGATAAGGAAAACACTTCGATGACGACGACGAAAGGGGAATCAAAGGCATATTCATAAGTATGGAAGACAATGGAAAATTGCCCGCGCTCAGTATAAACATACAACGATCGCCGACTGGGAAACAAAAACCAGCACGAGAGGCTCTGATCGCTATCCACACGTCAGAGATCGGCACCCTACCTTCACGTACTCGTTCACAAACTAGAATTGTTCCTGACCTCCGCATAAAGTACTGGCGTCACACTGTTTTGGTGAGAGCAATAGAGGACGGAGAAAAGCGAAATTCGGTTGGAGGAGGGAGGGAAAGGGTTCGACCAAGACCAGTGTGTAGCTTTCAATCTTCCATCGTGCCTTCACTCTGGAAGTAGCCACAATGAGCTCCACCTTGTGGCTTAGGACAGAGTGAACAAACTTGTAACTCCCAATTAACCATTAAGATATAAGAAACTATTCCACTCAATCAAAATCAAACCATTTTCGAAGTTGAAACTAGCGAGAATTCAAATGGTATTCAATATCCAATACAACACGATTCGCATTCGTTTCAACTGAATCGGTAATAAAGCTTGGCAAAAAAAGCAAAATTAACTATGAGCCACGGTGGTCCCCGAAAAAAAAGGCGAGGCCTGATAACGCAAACGCGGCACTTTCACAAACACTACAAAAACTACAGTAGTCGATAGACAAACAAGAAACACGTCACGTGTTACCAGACATGCGATCGGACGGTTACGATTGGGTTTACTATGCTTGAAGTAGCTTTTCCACATATAAAATAGGGGATTTTTGAAGAGAGGTAGGTTACTATAAGAAAAATCAGTAAAAATCATGTTCTTCCCAATAACGGTGAACTCTTTATTAGGCCATGCCAAAGTTTCTTTCATTCCATTGATTCCACTTTTTATAAATCCATAGCTGTTTCTTACTGCAGTTCCCTGACAATCTAATGGAATCACTACAGCCTAATCCTCCAGGGACCGTTTCCCGATTGCGAATGGGTGATCCATTATGCGCCGGAATACGACGGCTGCTCATTTCTTCATTAGCCTTCGAACCTCGGGCCTGTTTCCACCACCAGTGATCAGGCTACGGTATGCGGATCCTCAAAACGAATCAAGGCTTAGTTAAGAATGGTTCCCTCTCCCCACAATGTTTTCGCAGCACAACCCCTTGTATACACCTTAATCACCTGAGTGCCTTGCTAGTCTAAATCGTTCTCCAAGTAAACGAGGATAAAAAGGGCAGGTAAAAGTTGACAGCACTGACAGATATCTTCCTTAACTTCCCCCTTATCTCCTTCTCCATCTATACTCATCCTCGGAACTCCTATCGATGAGAAATTTCATAATATGGCTGCGTGGGAGGCATTATCACAAGAAAATTCGAAGCAGGAGCCAAATGATTGGGGTATGGCCTAGAAGAAGGAAAAGCGCTGAGAGGCTAATAAAGGTTAGCTTTAAGGCTGAAAATATCGAAATATTGCCCAAAGGGTAAGAATTAGAACAACGGCCCAATGGGAGTGTTATTTAGCGTTATTTAGCGCTACTAGCTCTTAGTTCTTTAGCGAAAAGAGGTTTAAGGTAGACGTCGAGAAGTAAGGGTCATTCTTCTTTGAGTTCTTTGAAAGCGCTATGCACCACTCATATTTCGTATTATGGGTTCCAGTCGCCAATTCTTCATCCCCATATATTGTACCTTTGATTTCAATTGTGTCTACGCAGCGGTGACCGGCCACACATTCGAAAACTATAGAAAAAGCCTTCATTTGAAAGCGAAGAGGAAAAAGTCTGAAATATTGCCAACAGTGTTCCCGCTCCCCAGACTGCCAGACCCATTAAACCCCCATTGCTGCGCTCCACCCCAACACTGCGCCGTCCTCGCCGCAAATGTTATTATCAGTTGGCTCTCGAGATTGACAAGCATATATTTGCCGACGTAGAGATAAGAGTCTCTCTCTTTCTCTGAAATTTTCTTCGTATGTTAGAAATCGTGAAAGTTATCTGCGTAACTCAACTTATCACCACATAAACATCCATTAAATCAAATGAAGCACACTCATCAAGGGCATCCAGCTCAAGACCAGCTAATCGAGATTAGCCTCAAAGTGAACGTCCTACGCCATTGCTATGGCTAGTCACATGCACTGCAGAGCATATTGATCGAGAAAATATCATGCTAACAAGAAGGACCTATTTTCCAGAAATGGGAAAAACTACTAATACAAGTTTGGAACCCAAAATCCCAAAATCTCTTCCTCAAACAACACGTTTCCAGCAAAAGCCTTTCATTCCCGTGGATACACGACCCTTCTGCAGATGAAACCAGTCAGCTAACTGCTGCTTGAGATGGGTCTCAACGAATCGCATAAACGTGTCAATAGCACGTAATTAGGGCACCGTAATTAACGCAATGCATATTAGCATGAGGCACGCTTACTAACGGCACTCGCCTTCAGTTCTGGACGATGTGGTTCTGACACGGGTGTTGCTGCTTCAGCGGTGTCCTCAGAGCGTGGTTCCTCGCGTTCCGATGGAACATCGGCCACTTCTGATCGCTCATCTGAAGCGAAACTCTGGTCAATGTCCGATTCCTTTTCATCTTTCGCTACTGTTGACGTCGATGGTGAGCCGAGCTCTTCATCTGAAAACATAGAAACTGTATCTAAAGAGAAAAAGTTCATACAGTTGGTAAATAGCTTTCGTTTTCCGTTCATCTTTAATGGAAATATTACGCTAACTCGAAACGCATGGTCCACCGCAGCCAGTAGCAGGCAATGTGAATCGGCTTTTCATAAAGAAAATCTGAACCTTGAAACCTCAGATTACAAGGACCAAAATAGGCAAAACATCCCAAAAAGTAGCCCATTTGGGAAAACTTTGGGCTTATTTTGGGTCAAGTCAGCCTGAAATACAACTCATGAAACTTGGACAACAACATCCACACTGAAGTTCTCTTGAGGTAGCAACCGGATGCGGAGGATTTTGGGGAGAAAAGAGGGAAGGGAGCGTCAAGATTCATTACAACACTGTGGCAGGAAGCCTATCTCTTTCCGTGCCTGGGAAGGGAAACATGCGCACAAGTGTATGCCCTCCTGATCGCTAGGCCAAGGCTATGCAATGCGTGATGAAACCATGTTCCCCTCTCCAGGGTGAAAAAAGTGAATATGCTGTCATTTGGAACGTCCAAAGGTGATAATCATGGATTGAATTGGTAATGGACTCAGAACGGCGGGACAATTCACTTCTTCTCCGGTGCACTCCTTTACAACAACGTGAGGCTCCAATTAAGAAAGAAAAACCATTATAAACAAAATAATAGATACGGTTCGTTTCGCTCCTTCCTCAGACGAACCTTATTATTTCGTCAATCCCCGGAGCTCAAAACTGTAGCACAATAGGTTCCCACTCCTCATCGCCTATGCCCCTCTTGGAATGACATCTACGGTTTTACGGAAGATATTGCGATTGCTTATAGCAGTCGCGTATCTCAAGATGCTAGAGTTCTGAGTCACACATTGCCTACAAAGCAATTGTAAACGCTCAAAGTCATCAGAATACTTTGAAACCTGAAAACCGAGAATGAGTAACAATACTCCGTTCCCTCCACTCCTAGCCGCTCAGTCGGCATTGAACAGCGGCAAACACAGTTATTACGTTCTTCAGAATGAGCTTCCATTCATTCATACGCATACATAGTACAGTAGGCAATTCGCTAATTGGCTACCGCAATGCGTGGATCGATGACAGATCGTCTTGGGAGATTGACTTATGGTGGCCCAATGACGGAAACGTAGCGGAATTCGTAAATGGACCCACAGCGCAACGAGCGAAAGGCGCTGACAGCGCTGTGAAGAGCCATTGAAAAGAAGGAAAAATGGATAGTAGTCAATCAATACACTCCCCCTATAGCACATTGAACAATTTGATGCGAGAAGCGCAATGATTTACTGAAAGATCTATATAATTTCGAAGCAGCAGCATACGGTACATAATCAAACCCATTGTCTCATGACGATTACCATAAGGCACCTCTATTGAGAAGGCCGGACAAATATTTGTCATGCCCCATTCACCTAGACAATATAACCAACTAATTGCTACTAATGAACCTTTTCATTGGACGAATTAGTCACGGTAACGGTAATCATAGAGCTCCTCTTCTCCCCGTGCAGCGCTACTACAAACAGCAATTTCACACGCGTCCTAATGACGGAGCGCAGAAGAGAATGTACGCGAAATGCGCTCATCCAGCAACAACTTGTACTTCAACAAAATCTGAAAGTAGTGAAAAAAACTCAAAACATGGCAAGTAGACCCACCATGTTCACTGCTTTCGCTGCTTTCATCCCGAATGTCACCACCGGCCAGCCGTCGCGCTTTTTTCTTTGGTGGTGTGGTCGTCTATAAAAAGATGTGTCATTCTTGGGTCACATTCGCTATGTAAGAATCCTCTCACCTCTGATTTTTTGCTAGTACTCCCACTTGAACTTCTTTTCTTATTCTTCTGCTTCTGTTTCTGAAACTCGTCGAAGAGTCGATCATCCAAGACATTCTCACGAGGTTCCCAAGTGTTGTGCCTGCAAAACAGCCGTGTTGTAATGATAGGCGAGACACGAGAGAGATAAGAGTATGGAAACGAAATATGAGCAAGAGTTCAGACGCTGTGTTACAAAAACATCGCGCAGGTAATATCCTCTATGATGCCTTTGAGATAAACACAACGGCGACGGCCCCTCGGCTCTCAATTCAACATCACAAGTGACAACTAGGGGCGACGCTAATGATAGAGTATGCTAATGCGATGCGCGCACAGACATCGGCGCCGCTGAGCACTTAAGATGGCCCTCGCACTAAGGTCTAATTTTGAAGAGCCTTCTTGATAGAATCTTTCACTGAAACTATTCATAGGGTCTCTGAAACCCCTCGACCACCGTAAACTCATACGGGTCCTATCCCTGCTTATAAACTGCTGGCCAGTAACCTTGAGCAGAACTATCAGAACAACTGAATAATTCCAAAAACTGTACTGATTCTTCCTTGACAAAAAGCCATTCATCAGAGTTAACAAGAGTCTATGAGCCAATTCAAAACACTGACGAATCTTTCCTTTGCAAAAAAATTCAAGAAAAATCTACATTAACATTTAAAGAAAAATCCACATCAATGTTCTGGGAAAATGGTTAAATTTCAACACTGTCACGCCATTTGAGTTGGTCACTAGTACGTACATATTAGCTAGTCCTAGAATCTTCCTGTTGTTCCCTCAGCAAAAACTTCTCGCATTTGCACAACTGAGAATATTTTCAAAGAAATTTGAGGGGCAACTTTACAACTTGTCAAAAACTTTTTTGAATTCTACACAAATGCCCGCTAAATCCATCAGTCAGTCCCCTGGTTAGTGAGCATACAAATTGCAACACTAAATCCCACACACATAGCTTACTTGATGCCCATGAATAAGTCAGTTTTACGTAGGGTTTTCATTACTATAATGACAGAAAGACGTCAGCGCGACTTGCAACACCTCATCGAAACGTGTAAACACCGCATTATCCCATGTTGAAAACTGCGACGTAAAGGTTCCGAAATAACTCAAATCTTCATGATATCCAGCCTCAGCGTCACGATAATCATAATCGCCTAATCTTCATGCACAGTAACCTGGTTCCATAAGTATTTCTGGTTATTGACACATACCCAACGGTATGGATAATCAGATCATCAGAGTCAAGCAGCCTAGTGGAAAAGTGGAAATGAACAAATTTAAGAGTAAAAACTGCCAAAATGCAGGTGAGAGAAGTAAAAGAACAACAACTTGGATAATAATGAAACCATGCAGACTTTTTATTTCCCTAAGGTAGAATAAGAGATTGTCAAGATTATTTCCAACAGTCTTCGAGCACCTCAAAAATTTGAAGCAAATTCAGGGTGTGCCATTCAGGTTTTGGAAATCCCATGAATGCCATCTCAAAGCTGCTCTCAACGTTGAAAATTTTGATTTGTTCCCTTTCACTGCCTACCGAATAGGCAACTCCAAATGCACTACTCATTGTCAGACCAGGGGCCGTAAGGTATGCTTCCCCGAAGGGTTGGGGACGAAAATCCCTTTAAATTTTCTCTGTCTTCCCAACTGGGATTGTCCTGATAAAGGGCCTACATTTAATATATGTGTGTAGGTTAAAGTAAACATGCACTGAAAATGAAGAAACAGTATCGTTCAAAACAAAAAAAATTTAAAGGGATTTTCGTCCCCAACCATTCGGGGAAGCATACCTTACGGCCCCAGAGGTCTCATGGATAACCTGCAACGAAATTCAGAGAATGCAGAGCGGTCAACGCGTGCAGACAGACAGGTGCAAGGTCAGAGACGCAGCAGAGGCTGGCTGGTGCAATTCTCGTGCGTAGGCGAATGCTTGGCCGCATCGATCAACGCTGAATGTCTACGGGCTCGGAGACACTCCATCTAGGAATCCGATTTCCATTCATTAAATAACTCATCTAGTATTCTAATCCTAATCATAGTATATTTAGGTGTACAAAAATAAATTCGCAGGTAAATCTAACGAAAATTGGCCAAGAACCCGCAGCGCATTTGTATCGGCTTTTTAAGAAGTGATATTTGACGACCTTCTATTGCTGGAAACTTGGCAATATTCCAAACCCTTTGAAAATATGCACTAGCTGCACAGCCCTTTTCCTTCATAACAGATCTAATGAGTGGAAGGAAAAGGACACGAGGAAACAAAGACCAGCGACAAATCATTTAAATTGTTCGTCAATTGACAGGTGCCTTGCTGCTAGAACTGTTCTCTCTGCTGACAGATGCAAATTATTGAAGGAAAGGAAAAAAACAGCAGGCTCTGGAACTGCAATCAATCTTGCCTTGAAAGTGACCTAGAAATGACCCTTCTCTTCGTTACTCAAAATCAAAGTCTTCCCCTCAGCTAAAACAATTAATATTTGCACAAGAATGCCTTCTCACAGCTTCGAATATTGGGAAAGGTCCTTAAAAATATCTGATTGATGACTGTTGTCGAACTTCTATGAATTTTTGCTCGTATAACGGGTCGTCCATTGGCACGGGATGGGTATTTGCTCAGCACAAAGGTTTCGCGTTTGGATAGGGCGATCGAAACTTGAAAGATACATCAATTCTCTCCCACGAATCGATACGCAGCTAGCAGTGAGCCCTTCAACGTATGTGTTGTGTGTTGACGTCCAGTATTATTTTCTGTTCATTTGGATATCCATTTCAATAGAACAGTTGGGAAAGACGCAGACATTCTATGCAACAGAATAGAAAAATATAAAAACAAAAGAAAAATAGGAGAACTAAATAAACTCACTTATTGCCCCATCCCTTCCATTTCACCAGATACTCGACTTTACCCTGAAAATCTCATATAAGTTGTAAGCTTGACTAATATAGGTTAATGGATATCATCTCCGATTACTGGGGATCAGAAGGCGGTAGCAGGTAGGCAAAACCTACAGTAAGCTGTTTTCTTCAACGGGAAATAATGCTGAAGCTTATCTGTCTTACCGAACCAGAAAAACAAAAACCGTTTCATGCTTATAGTTAATAATATTAAGGATGGGACACGTGCAAGTAATCTTCAGTATCAAGTCTTTCGAATCAGTAGAAGCTCACATATAAGCAGAAAACGAAAAGAAAACTATTTAAAGTTTTGGTATTCATATTTTGAAGGCAAAACTGTGTTCGGTGATCTATGTAAAAAAAAAAAACTAAAACACCTTCAGCAAATTATTATTCTTTATAAAACCGGTTCAATCAAAAAAAATGAATTGGAACAAATAAACGCTGCACTGTGATAATGAGACGTGACAGGTCGAAAACGCTGATAAATGCGTGCGCACTAGTTTGTGAAGCAAATCGCTCACAGACACAACATAACAACGACTTTCGATCGATTTCACATTACAACGAACCACAGAGTAGCACCAAAATGCTAGGTTATGAACAAACGGTGAATGAGAGAGTTAGTAACGGCTGTTGGCAAGCATTCTATGGGAACAGGGACCGATCAATAGCACTCGTCGGAGCCTGCAGCGGCGCACTTCGATAGAAAAACATGAAAGCAAAATGTTGAGGTGCTCTGCACAATCAGACCAAACATCTACTGTTGAGTGTTATGTTTCATTTGGGGGTTTTTAGTCACAGTTTGTTCCAGTTGAAACCCATGGAGCCTTCCTGACCGTCAGTAGCATTACAATAATATTTCACCGATGCAAAATCGCAATAGTGCGGCTAAATTGGAAGGGAATATGTCAAAGCTTCGCCAAAATGTACAATGAAAACATGCAAAACATAGATAAGCTTCTTTTTGGAACTCAGACATTATAAAAACAATAAGCTATGTCCGTGGAAATTTCGAGCGTAACCTTGGAAACATAACCTTATGTTAGAAACTTAGCGTAGCCTTATACAGATAGGTGAAAAAGTAATATTAAACTGAAAAATTGGAAAAAAATACGTGATCAGCATGACAACCACGATGGAATCTGTTTTGCCTCAGGTGCGAAACTTTTCATACGAGAAAAAAAGATTGCAGCAAACAAGACTTGAAGTGTGTTTTATGCAAATTCACTAGAGAATTCACGGTTGTTGCGAACGCACCTTCGCCATGGGTTTATTCACAGGAAAGCCACTGCAATAAATTCGCTCCAAGGTCGTCGTTATCGACACAACACATGCTATTAGCAAGTGCGACAGGTTGATTTAGAGTCCAGAAATGCTCGAAACACGTTGGGCGCTCAAAATTTGTTTTAATTTCGAAAAGAAAGTTGGAAATGGTGAAATGGTGGAAAGATAACAAAAGTACTTCCAATGAAAAAAACGAATTATAAAAGCTTTGACCCCAAGAAGCGGGAATAAAAACGTGGAAAACTTGGCACAAAATGATATCCTCGACTGCAAAGGAAAACACTGGCGAATGAAGAAGCGAATCAATAATTCCAAAGCTTCGCAGTCAACAAAAGTGACGTGCAAATAGTCTCGATCGATAACGAGCCACCACGAGAAATTGGGAAACGAGAAAACTAAACGGAAATGAAACATCGCACACCTTTCGTTTTCGCTCTTTCAAGAGCGCTTCCACAGCGAACACATTGCCCTCGAGAGGTTCCATACCGGGCGTGGGCCTCACCGGGACAAAATTGGTCGAATCACTGCGCCAAAATCAGACGTCGACACTACCAGCTCGGCGCCACGACGGCGGCGACTGCGGTCGCGACGATGGCGTATCGCACGCGATGGTCGCCGCGGCGAGCGCGACCTTCGCGCTCTGCGTCTCTGCCGCCACCGCTCGCACTCTGTCTGTCCTCTGCCGATAACGATCTCTAGTCATTATTGCATCGTACCACCCCACGTGAATTACTTCTTTGTAGGTGATACTCCCGAGATGAATTGATTTACACCCCGAAAACTGCTCCGCTCATCTGCTTGGGGATGAGTTCCGTGGAGGATTTCCAAGCATTGCACGTTTCTCTGCGCTTCACTCGCACTCGACACCCATCCGTGTAACCCTTATCATCGCCGGGTGACTCTCAGCTGTGTGCTATTATCGACCCGCCCCGATGTTAGGGGGCTACCCGCCACTCCGGACGGGGAAATTACTTCGTCGTCGTTGTCGAGGGCTTTTCTCGAACCACTCACCCAGATGACGTAACGCTACTTAGCAGGACATGGTTCTCACGAGTACTGATAATCACCTAATGTTCCGATGTCCTAGATATAAAGGTCCGAAAAAAATATAAAAATTTCCCCTTGTGGTTCACCCTAGCACTTGTGAAAATGCGCGCGGCAGTTTTACGGGGGCACCCTTCCAGCCTGCGGTAGGATAAGTCTTCAAAATGCGCCAAAATGAGAATTTCGTACACATGGCTGGCAGCAACGCGTTTAATAAACGCAGCTGTTTCGCTGGCGCTTTCGATTGGTTGACGAGAACTTGCGCCATCCGGTCAAATGTAGCCAACAGGCGTGGTTTTGCCGGCCGTGGCTCATCCCCTGATGTTTGGAAAGCGAAGCGGAAAGTGACAGAGAAAGATGGACAGGGCCGAGCGCGCTCAAAGACGGCAATTGACCGTATCCCACTTTGGACGCACCAGATCGCCGTTGTCTGCTTGTGCCTACGCCGCCGCATTCGGCGTCATCACGTCGGGGCCATCCACTCGATCATCGCCTATATTCTCTCTCTCATTACGATAGTACGACCTGTTCCGTTACCGTAATCCCGACGGGCGCGGAGGGTGCAGCGGCGGTGACGACGGCGATGGCCGGCCGTGAATCGTTATCTTATTTGCAGAGGCTCGCGCGCAGGGCTTCTCTCTGTTTGAATGCCTCTTCTCTCTTTCGCTCTCATTTCTCTATTTCATATTCTTCATTCCTCTAGCAAGCTCTCTCCCATTCGGAGATCAACACCCGCACCACCGTAGTATGGAATTGGGTTTCTGAGCAATTATGCGATATATAGGCCGCAGCGCACGCCGCGGGGGGTGCAAATTTGGATTGTATGAATGCGAGCCGTCCTCCGACGGGAGTGTGGCTGGAAAGAATGCTGATTGATTGGCAGCAGAAATTCCCCCGAGCCGTGGGGGTGATGGTGGTCGGTCGGTCGGGTGGTGGCGGGTGGTGAATCGTCGTCGGACGAGTGAACACTTATCGTCGGAGTGCGCAGGACGACGAGGAAACGCGCCGCCCGACTACCGTAGCAGGGGACGTTTGGTAGGGGGCGTGGCCGACGGCCGGGTGTTGATTGGTTTCCGCAGAGCGTCAGAATGCCAGAGCGGCGAGACAGCACAGCATCATTGGAGGGTGCACGATTGCGCTGACAAGCAGCGTGCGGCCGCGGCGCGGAACACATACTGTGGCGGTCTGGCTCGGTCGGTTCGACATCGCTGGCCATGTCGGCTGCATCCTGCACCTGCCCTGATCGTCACACCCATCACTATCAGCTCATCATTTTCGTTTATCATCACTTTTACAGTCGTTTCCCATTGAAATTCCCTGAAGTGCTCCTTTTCTGCTCGCATCCTTAATCCACCCAATGGTAGGCGTTGCTGTGGGCGGGCCCACCAGTTGGTCCCGCCCCACGGCTCTATCACTGCCTCGTTGATTACGTTCTTCGCTGCTCGACGACCGCGCTCTGCTCTGTCTTGGAGAGTATCGATTCTCGTTACCGTAATTTTACCTAGGTTCTCCATTTCGGTAGTTATCGCAGAGATTATCGGATGGACAGACCAGTCGATCGATCAGCATCGAATCGAATTGACGTGTTATGGGTGCCGGCACGTTAGCTGCGCCTCGTTGAGCTTCTTCTTTAACCATCGATTGCTTTGTTGTGACATCGATCTTTGAAATTTTAAGATTTCAAGGTCCCTATAAGCTATCTGTTATCGATTTCTACTCTCATTTCAAATCATAGCTACAGTGTTTCGTCGTATGAAATCTGCCTATTCATTAGCAGCTGGTCGTTGGGCGTTTCTTTGTCTGAGCAGCAGTGTTCGTCGCTGGCGCTGCAGCGCTCACTTCCACGCCCGCAATTGTAAACATTTCGCACGAATGACGGCAAATTTCAGGTGTTCTCCTATAGGACCCCTCCTATTCGCCCGGCCCTGGCTCAACGTCCTCCTCTAGGACCTATTGGTGAGTTCGATTCAGCGCAGCTTTCTTGTGTTCAATAGTCCGCTGGCCGTCGCCGTCGTCGTAGTGTAACGAACAACTACTTACACATGCGCGCGCTCACATTGACGTTAATACCGTATGCCGCGGCGACCCACTGCGCTGGCTGGCTCTGGAGCGCATATGTGTGTCTGTGGCTGAGTGTCTATGTGTATGTGTGTGAGTGGTGGCGCCGCCCGAGCGCTCGTTCTTCATCGAGGTCAACAGGCGCCCGGAACTTTTTCCCGGACCGGCAAAACCCACCGTAATTATGACGCTAGTGGCTCGGCTACTAATCTAATCACACCAGAGGAGCATTCACGAGCAGTATGACGTTTGAAAAGCGCTACCAAAGGGAATAAGTGGAATAATTGAATAAATGGATGAGAAACATGAGTGAAGTCGTAATTTCGGACACTTATCGGCGCGATGTGAAGCCGTAATTCACCATACAACGAGAAACTCCAAAAAAGGTGCTACTACCATAGTCTGCCGCCGCCATATTGAGGCGTTTTCACCTTCGGGGACAATCCGCGAGACCCGTGCAACCCGAACTTATCATAAAAGGTATCGTTATGCCTTTTTATGTTTTGCAAAAGCTGCAGTTTGACTTGAGGCGTACACTGACACGTTTTTTGAAATCGTTTTAGTGCGCGCGCGTAAATTTTGTTTCAAATGGATGGATTTTTAGGGAGAACAAATGTAATTTTTGACATTGTGCTAAGATTCGTTGTCAAATACAGCATGGGAATGTCAGGTTTTCTATTTTCTAGTCTTGTGAAGACCGAAAGTACGCAAAAATCATCCTTTAGTGAGTGATTTTTCTATGTGATTCAATATTTGCATGTTTGGAACCCTGGAATCATGTTTAGAATATCACAGAATTTGCAGCCAACTGTGAAAAAGCTGCAACTTGAGTTCTTTCTTTACAAAAACTTCACAAAAACTTCTTAACTTCACCCTGAAAAGGTTGTGATTAAACAATTTCTGCTTTGTACTGTCTTTGTCAACAGTTTTCAACTTCTTTAGCGAGAAATTAGTCTAAAACTGCATTATCGATTTCGAAAAAGTAACAGTACCTAATTCCATTGTACGCAGTACCTGGTAGGTTTGGTGCTCTCGAGTGCTCAAATCTCCACGTAGTGTCCTGCCACGGCAAAAAAAAAGAACTGGTGAAATTCGGAAACATTTCATCGCCATCGAAAACATTGCTGAAGTTTCTGCTTTGCCGAAATTTCGATGATTACTGGGTGAAGTAATTTAAAGAGCTTTTTCACAGCTATGCGTACGATTGCGAGCCGCGTTGAGAGTGTCTAAATCAGTGCGATGACTTTTGGACTCATTTTTCATCTATAAGAGCCCTTTTCGTTCGAGATTTTTGGCTACTGTGTTTCCAAGTATTGGAATCCGTTCCATATCAGCGTTCCCAAATGCCTCTTATCACTAGAGATGTCTGGTGAGGAGGGTGAGAGCATAAAGTGCTTATCGTTGGCAAAGAAGTGTGCTCCCTAGTAGCATTATAAAGGTTTTATGAAGTCACACTTTGTTTTATTGATTAGATTTCCAATTTAGAGGACGATGAGTGCGTCACCAAACCTCAGATGTGGCTTATGCAATGAATATCTCGTCAATGCTGTCACTGTGGCAGGATGTATGCACAGCTGTGAGTGATTTTCACTTTCATCCTTATTTTTATTTTATTTCAATTGAATTTTTCAATTATTAATATGTGTTAAAGCTCAAGGTTGATCTAAAAAGGGCGAATCTTGGTAACTGTTTCTTGAAATTCGTTCAAATGTTTTGACCTGGAGTTCTATTTCACCTGCTTGGATGAATTTTGTTCTTATACTAGGTTATGAATGTTTGAAGAAATTAGGTTCGGTTTTTCTATGGTCGGTTAATTCTTCGTGCAGAATTAGCATGTACCATTAGCGGTTGATAGGGATTACCTGAAATCCAACAGACTGAACTGGTTATCATAAATTTCGAACAATGCTTGCAAGCTGTGACGTGAACATGCTGGTCATAAATCATCTGTATCATTTGATTTCTTTCAGTCTGCGAAGAATGTCTCTTGAAAAATCTGTCAGTATCGGGTACTTGTCCAACAAAGGGATGCAAGAAAAATGTAGACAAAGTAAGTCTAAATAATTGCTCATTTTTACGCGCTTTGGTTTTACACTTATTATGAGACATTAGGACTTTCTTGCCGTTTATGCGGCTCTTGATTTCAGAACGGATATCGCCGCGATTCTACTTTGCAAATGCTCGTTTACAAATTTGTGCCCCAGATGTTTTTTGAAAACGCTGAGAAAGGCAGCAAAGGAAACACGGATGTCAACAACAGAAAAATGCAGAGGTATGTTAAATCTTTGTGCTCACTTTTTTGTATTTTTAATATTTGTATCGTGTTAGCTTGTGCTTGGTGAGAAGACCTCTCCAAGGCAACGTCATCTCTCATATCTTCTGAGAATTTCACATTGGGAGGCCTTGTAACCTTTTATCTGCTTTTTACTCGAGTGACCTCTTATCTTAAAACTGCGGTGACATTCACTGAGGCTTTCCTAATTAAGAAAATGAATGTACACTCTGCCGTGGAGGTTATTCCACGTAAGGCCTCATAGTCTGAAAGGCTTTTGCGATTAGCTGTCATCTAATCTTGTATTACTTTCGTCACCCCAACGACATCCAGTGTTTCATCGTGAATTGATTTCAATCGACCACATGTGTGATAGCTCTAGATTTTATACATATTCGGCCATTTTATCACCCAGGAATCACTTTAGTAATAAAAGTATCAGCGGAAATTTTGCACGGCGTAAAGTTGAGTGGTTACCAATAGCTTTTTATGGAAAAATATCTACATAAAAAAGACCCTCCCATAGATCAAATGGACGCTGATGACCGAGCATTTTTTATTTTCGAATTTATTTATTTTATTTTCTTCTTTAGCAGAACCGTTTTAGAGAACTGGCACAAGCAAGCACTGAAATTTGTGATCCTGACGAGCTTCTGTCAATTTGTTTGGAGTTTGTACCGGCTCCAGCTGTGGCAAAGCCTGATGAGGTTTGTGAGCCGCTCGTCTTTATCCCATTTTTATTTTTCATAGTGGTTTAGAGTGAGTGCCAACTTGAACATTTAGGA